GCTTTTGCCGCTGAGCTAAATCCCCAGCCCCCGCAACTCTAATCTTAATGATGGAAATTCAAGTTTATTTTCTTCCTTTCCTTATCTGCATTTCTTACTTTTCTGTAATGAACATTTGCTTTAATTCTTTATAATCATTAGGGATGACCTGGAGATCAATAGCTGAAAATAAACTACATTAGAAGAATTGGATTGGTGAGGCAGCTCACGGCCTGCTACAGAAATGTACCCTGTCCACACATCATTACTTTTAATGATGCTAAATAGCCCAGCGGCTACATATATGTGCCACGGAGAAAATGACAGGGAGGCCTAATGTCCATTTTTCAATGGATAAGTCAGAAGAAAGTTTAATTTTAAAAATATAACAACTTTATTGAGGTTTAATTCATAACTTGGTCTACCCATTTAAAATGTATAACTTGCCAGGTGTGGTAGCACATGTGTAGAATTAAAGTGACTCAGGAGCCTGAGGCAGGAGGATTGCAAGTTCAAGACCAGCCTGGGCAACTTAGGAAGACCCTGTCTCAAAATTTAAAAAATAAAAAGGGCTGGAGATGTAACTTAGATTGAATACCCATAGGTTCAATCCCCACTGCTACACACACACACACACACACACACACACACACACACAAATTCAGTGAGTTTGTTTTGGTTTTATTCAGAGTTGTAAGATCACCACACAGTCAATTCAGAACACTGTCATCAACTCAAGAGAAAAGCCTATGTCCATTAGTACAATACTCACTCCTCATTTTTCTCTACCCTCACCCTAAAGCAGACACAAACTTACCTTCTTTCCATTGATTTCTCTATTCTAGGTATTTCCTGTAAGTGGCGCCAAACAATATTTAGGGTTTTTTTTATGCCTGTCTCCTTCCATTTAGCATAATATTTTCAAGGGTCATTCATGCCGTAGCAATATCAGTGCCTGGTTCTTTGTATGGCTGAAAAACATCCTACTGTATGAATACACCAAATTTTGTCTATCTATTCATCAGTTGATGGACATTTGGTTATTTCCACTTTTTCCATGAATAATGCTCCTATGAACGTTCATGTATGATTTACTGGGTAGACATATGTTTTCATTTCTAAGAAGAGATACCAAAGGATAGGACTACTGGGGCACAGAGTGACTCTTTAGTTAAGTGTCAGACTCTTTTTCAAAAGAGGCTGGAGCATTATACATTCCCACTAGCACTGTAGGAGGGTTCCACTGTCTTCACCAACAGTTGGTATTTTCTTTCCTTTTTTCTTTTTAAAATTATAGCCATCCTGGTTATGAAATGGTATCTCATTGTGGTTTTAATTCGCATTTCTTTAAATGCTGAGTGACATTTTAATATATATAGTGGCCACATGTATATATTTAGAGAAATGTCTTTTCAAAACTTTTGGCCCAAGCACACTGCCTTTTTGTTTGTTTGTTTGTTTGTTTTGTTACCGGGAACTGAACTCAAAGCCTCATGCTTGCCAGGCTGGCACTGGGCCACCGAGTGTCATCCCCTGCCTGCACGTTGTCTTTTGAATTGTAAGAGCTGTTTATATATTCTAGATATACATCTCTTATCACATATTAGACGTACAAATCTTTTCTCTAATTCTGTGGGTTGCTTTTTCATCTTATGGATAGACTCTGTCTTAATTTTGATAAAGTTCAACTTACCCATTTGTCTTGTGCTTTTGTGTTATATCTAAAATTTTTAAAAATTAATCTAAGGTCACAAAGATTTACTCCTATATTCTCTTTTAAGAATTCCATAGTTTTGACTCTTACATTTAGATCTGCGACCCACTTTGAGTAAATTTTTTGTGATTATTTTGATGAAGGGCTTAACTGCCTTCTTTTGCACTTGGATGTCCAGCACCATTGTTGAAAAGGCTACCCCACCACCATCACCATCACAAACAGTGAACTGTCTTTACAATCTTTTCAAAATTCAGTTGACTACAGATGAGAGGGACTCTCAGTTCTATTCTACTAATTGCATATATCTGTCCACATCCCAGTACTACATTGTCTCAACCAGAGCAACTCTGTAATAAGTTTGGAAATTGGGAAGTGTGAGTTCTCCAAATTTCTCCTTTTTGCTTTGGCTATTCTGAGTTCCTTGAATTTCTATATGAATTTTAGGACCACTTTGTCAATTTCTGCAAAAAGGCAGCTGTGATCTTGATAGAGACCAGACTGAACCTACAGATCAGTTTGGGGGTGACTACTACTGTAAAAATATTAATTTGGTCCAACGCATGCACATGGGATATATTTCCATTTAATTAGGTCTTTACTTATTTATTTGTTTATGTAAACAATGATCTATAGTTTTTAGAGTATAAGCTTTGTACAGGAGACCCTTTTGTAAAGAAGTCTTCTTAGTTCTGATGAAGAAAGAAATGAAGAAATTCACACCGATGAAGAACTGTGGGCCAAGAATATAGGCTGCAGCTGATTCAGTGGACATGTAGAGAAGCCTAGGACCATAGTCAAGAGTTTCATCTGACAAGGCTCCTGCTGCAGTGTCCGTGGCATGGGTTTTAGCCCCAGGGAGACCTAGAGCAGCAGTTCTTGTCCTGGTCATGCAGTAGAACCACCAAGGAAGCTTAGAAACACCCTGTTGCAATCCACGGCAATGTCATCAAAACCTCGCAAGATGGCCCACAGGTGTCAGCATGTTCAAGATGGAAGGCCACCAACAAAACGACACGAGGCTTCACTGAAGTCTTGTGTTTTATTTCTATTTATGACTTACTTATATTCTACCTTATTGTACAAAGAAATTAAGCAAACTGGCAAGAATTAAAAGTGAAGGCAAGAAACTACAGATGAGAAAAAACAGCAAAACAAAGTGAAGACAGAATGGAACCTAGAATAAGACTTGAAAACATGCTCTACCTGGGCATGGTGGCACACGCCTGTAATCCTAGCACTTGGGAGGTTAAGGCAGGAGGATCATTGTGAATTCAAGGCCAGCCTGGGCTACAAAGTGACCTCAAGGCCAGCCTGAACTGCATAGTGGGACCCTGTCTCAAAAAGACAAACAAAAACAAAACACAATAAAACAAAAAACGTACTCTAGATTGAGCTACACTTGCACACAAATTTGGGCAACAGGATCAATATCCCAAGGTGATCAGAAATACAAATGTTCTTGTTAAAGATACAAATAAAAGTCAAGTCTCAAGAATCAAAGAGCTTTCAAAATATGAAAACACACGAGCCCTGTGGCAACTCCTGTGAAAAAGACACGGTCATTCTAGGCTGCAGTTAGTGCTTTGTTCCTCCATAAAGGTGACGGACTGTGGAGAGAACATGTCCAAGCCCGCCCTTGCCTCCCCTCTTCCGCCGCGGCTGTCCCTCTACCTGAATCTCTTGGTGGCTGGGGTGGTCTCCGTGTTAAACTCGGCCACTGGCACTCCCCTGGCCGCTACCTCGGGAGCAAACATTGCGGCTGGGTAGACCACAGAGGAAGTCCCCACCTACAAGGCAAACACACGGAGATGCACAGTAACTGTTCTGTGGGGAGCAGAAACACTTTTTGAGAAAAAAAACCCTTAAACTCAGGCAGTCTGTGTTTGCAGATGTGAAGAAAGCTAAGCTGGATTTGCGAAGACAGTGTCATGGGGACAAGCGGAAGGGAAGGTAGGAGGGAGCTTCAGGCCCGTCATTAGAAGTTGAAAATATCTGACACAGAGAGTTATGCAGGTAGACAGTGCGGGAAAGAAGTGACCAAGCCACTGTTTGAGGGGAAGTTCTGTTTTTGTTTCTGCCCTTTAAGTTATACAAATAATCTATATTCTTTCTTTTTTTAGTTAGGGAATACAAAGAAAAAACAAGCCTGTTATTCATGACCCTACTACCCCACAATAACTGCTGTTTGTTTATATGTATATATATATATGTATGTGTGTGTATATATATATGTATACAGTGTATGTATGTGTGTATATATCTGTCTCCTTCCATTTAGCATAATATTTTCAAGGGTCATTCATGCCGTAGCAATATCAGTGCCTGGTTCTTTGTATGGCTGAAAAACATCCTACTGTATGAATACACCAAATTTTGTCTATCTATTCATCAGTTGATGGACATT